TTTATACTTGCATTTTTTACGTGCTTTCGAATTGCTAAGTTGGCAGAAGCTGGGACAAGTAACGGGAGCTCACTCTGTTTACGCGGCGCTAGAGATTTGGACCACCGAATTGCCGACCTTTCTGATCGACAAGCTCAGCGTCTTAGCCACTGAGCCACCGGGTCCCTTAGAATTCCTTAGGTCATTATTAATTTTAATAGTTACAGGGGTTTTTTTTAGTTTTAAGGAAAAATTGAGCCCTGTTGCTGACAGTAAGAATAGTGTACAGTTTACAAATGTGGCTTAGTATCATTTGAGCTAATATATAGGAACATAATATTTATGTTAATTTAATGGTTTGAATGTGTTTGCTTCCTTGGCTGAAGAGTTCTTGATCCTGCGAAAGCCCCCTCCCTCCCCCCCCCCCTTGTCTGGAGAAAGTTGACTCTGTTCTCACCAATTTCCTCTGCAGCCCTCCAAAATCAGCTTAGGGGGACTGGGAGTCTCTCCAGAACAGTATGGAATGTGGCACAGAGAAAAGGGTAATTGATGAAAATTGCTTCCCTATCTCTTCTGCTAGCTGAGTTCTCCATTGATTCAAAGAGTTGTCTGCAAACAGAAGGATTCCTTCTGTTCCTGGAAGGGATTTTTGGTTATAGTTCACAGCTGTGACTTAATCCCTCCCTCCCGAGATTTAAGGGAGGTGAGGGTCCTTCCAAGACCTTTTGTGCAGATGCGAAAAAGGTTTTCCTAAACAGTCTTCAGGACATCTGTTGAAAAGTGGCAGAGGAATGGAGGTGCTTCATTAGATATTTTTTAGAGCTATTTGTTTTATTTATGTTAGGTTAGAGGCATTTTTTTTCCAGGAGAGTATCTGATATGCAGATGGCTACTGTGAAGATTTCTTTAACACATTTTCTATGTCATAAGTTTTCATAACCCATAGAAAATGGCACACTATCCTAGACAAAAAAATATATATTCCTCTGTCGGACTTTTATCATATGTTGATAAAAGCCTATGCCCTAATATATTTATTCATCGCCTTAACTAACGTTCTGTTGTTGTTCCTGCTCCTCTTCCTGTCTCTTTCATTAACAGTGTACAGGGGAAAAGCTTTTGTGATGTGAAAAAGTTGTGTGGATTATTTTCCAAATAGTTTTTTTTTTAAAGGCAACTTTTGTCCATTTTAATTCAAAATGCATAGTAAAAGGAGGAAAGTCTGAAGAACAGAATGATTCGCTCTGCCCTGCTTTAAATCATGCTTTGCTTTCTTTTCCTCCCCCTTTTAAATCTTTTGTCATCTGGAATACATTTTAGGAAAAACCAGACATGTATTACTGTTTGCAATGTGGACCTCGCTTGTCCTATTCTGTAATACTATTTAAATAGCTTTCACAGCTGTCTCTGAAGTCCTTGATAAAGATGTGGGACAAAGAAGGGAAAGCAGTGGGAAAGGAAAGAAAAAAAGAGATGGACTCAGGTATTCTGAGTAAAAAAATGAGTGCTTCAACATTCTAAAAAGCAGTTATAACTATGTGGGTCCATGGGGAGAAACCCAAAATCTAAAGCTGCATGATCCCTTTATTAAGAGCAACCAGATTTTATTTCTGTTCCCTTCTTGTGCCTGACAGAATGCAGAAATAAAGAAACATTAGTGTTTTTTATCCACAAGTCCGGGGAATAATTTGGCTTGTCTCAAAAATATACAGTATAAATTTTCAGAATCCATTTTTCTAGTCTATTCAAAGCATCCTCCCAGGTTCCATAAGAAGCAACCAAATCAACACAAAACACATAAAAGTTCTATATAACTCAATAGTAGTGTTTTTGTAAAGCATTATACAATTATTATACAATTATTTCCATTCTGCTCTAATGTATAAAAATATTTTATTCAATTTTCAATTTTCACATTCCATTTGCAATCATTTATACACAGGGTATTTACTATAAGAAAAGAATTCTGCTCTATTGGTTACTTTGTCTTGCACATATTTCAAGATTAGTGTGCAGTGCTGGGATGAGTATTCATTGGTCTTTAAAATATTAAGTCTAGACATTCATTGGTCTTTAAGTATAAGTCTAGTTGCAAAATATTTCAATTTAGAGAGGAGTGGTTCTTTAGCATGTTGTTAATGTATTGGGTATCTATAGATTAAAGAACTGTTTAACTCTGTTTAACAGGCCAGCACGGATGCAGGAACGGCGGGCGCCCTCACTCCTCAACATGTTCGCGCTCACTCTTCTCCAGCTTTGTTGGGAACAGTTTCTCCAGGTGCACTTACTCCATCTGGCGTAGTTCCTGGAGGTACACCCTCTCAGCATCTCCGTCAATCATCTTTTGAAATCCCCGACGATGTGCCCCTACCACCAGGTTGGGAGATGGCAAAGACACCTTCTGGCCAGAGATATTTTCTGAAGTAAGTAAAAGTATGAAAGATGGGAAGAGGAAAATGGTGCTGGCAGTTTTTGGAATAGCATTTGATTTAATTCTTATTTTTTTGCTAAATCTATTCATCCAAGACGTAGAAAATTACACTATCTGAAAAATTTGGGCTGAAGTAACATGCTTAAATGAGTTATATTTAAAAGCCTAGATCAGGGTGTCAAACTCAAGGCCAGCCCATGGTGGGGGGGGCTTAGATCTGGCTCATGGGGCCGCCCTGGAAACAGTGAAGGACTGGCCCGTGGTGCCTCTGCCATTGAAAATGGAGCTTGGGAAGGCCACAGGCAGCCCTTCCAAGCTCTGTTTTCGCTGGCAGAGTGTTACAGGAGGCTGTCACAGGCGAAAACATAGCTCTGGAGCCTGTTTTCTCTGGCAGAGTGCTTGGGCCACCACAGGTGCCCCCACATGAGTGAGGTTGAGCTGTTTGCACCCACCCCAGCCCCCCGAGGTCAAACACAGCCCTGATGCGGCCCTCAATTAAATCAAGTT